AAATTCCTGTCATCCACCACCACCATCCCCGCCGGACCCGTTATCGCCGGTACATCCGCCGCCGCCGCTGCATACGTCCTCTCCTCCCATGTCCTCTTACCGAATCCTTCAACCCGAACGAAAAAAAATAAAAATCGAAAGTCTGTGTCACGCATCTCGCCGGAGAAGACAACAGCAGGCATTGAGGTCGGCAGAGGACGCCGACAATTTTGCCGACGTGATAGTAGCTAACGCCGACGAGACTGTGGCGGCGCTAAGGAGATCGGCAGAGGACTCCACCGAGACTGGTAACAGATGTCATAGTCGCCGGCTTTTTCGCCGGAATCTCACACATCACGACATTCTCTATTTGCAGGCGACTGAGGCACGGAGGCGGCTCGACGGCGGGCAGCGGGCTACCTATTGGCGGCTGGGTCGCGGCTGGCGGTAGTGATGGTGGTGTTGCCGGCGTATGTGTGTGTGCGCGTCGATGTGTGTGTGTGTGTGGAGAAGTGTGAGAGAGAGAGAGAGTGGGTGGTCGGTGGGGCAGGTGAGAGAAACGTGATTAATGGTGAGTGGGGTGGGAGTGGGTCCCACTTTTGAATGTATTGAGTTAATGACATATTTACCCTTAGTGAGTGTCAATGACTGAATTACTCTTAATGAATTTGACTTTTTTTACTAATTTTGTTACCATTATGACCATTGATATGTTGGATCTAATGGTCCATAATCATTCTTATTTCTTTCACTATGACTCATTCTCATTTGAGCGCACTTATATATATATATATATATATATATATATATATATATATATATGAGAATAAGAAACGTGAGTAAGATTTATACCGTATTCAGGAAGTCATACGATTTTTAAATCTGTCAATTTGATTGATTCGTATTACTTGGCTAAACAAATCAATATATACATAGCTTTTCTTTAATTAAAATATTTTATATTAACTTTCTTTACTTAAAAGTATTTTTAATTAAATATTGTAGAATATAATTGTAATTGAATATTGCATATTTGGTTGCTCTACAATTGGCAAGGGAATTTTGAAGATCATGGAAGATTTCATTTTGTTCGACCAGATTTGTACAGTAATTAGATTTATTTATTTACTTTCATTAGTAATAGCAGATCTTACCAAAATCTCGTACACAAATCTTACCAACATTATTATGTACATTTAAATTTATTTTTTCACTTTCCTTTGTTACAGCAGCAATATTGGACCAAACTAACCAAAATCTCGGACAAATTCTATGAAACAAACGTGAGCCGCAATTGTTGACTTAATGGATTTTGTAGAGATTTTAAATTGACTTTTTAAATTTTAATTTTGAAAAATGACGAGTCCGTCGCTGCTAAAATACATTTCAAGTTTGTAATTATTCCATTTTGAATATGATTCCATTTTGTTAATATTTTTAACATTTTTTACGGAATAAAATAAAAGTTTACTTTATTTTAACATTTTTTATTATTTGCGCCACTGGTTTGCAACCGTTGCCCAAAACCGCGTTGCCTTTTCAAAAATTTTATTGCTATAAATAACATTTTACCCTCACACCACACACACCAACGAGAAACCAAAATATATATATATATATACTAAAAAGAAAGAAAATAAATTAGGAAAATATGACCCTCGAATCTCAATATTTCCTATTTTCATTGATCTTGTTGAGTATGTTGTTTTTTGTTCCCAATATAGCCTCCTCCAAAGGCGGCGGCGGCGACCAGTGGGTTCGTCTCAGGCCAGACGAAATCAAGAGCAAGAACATGATTGCACTTGCAAATTACACAGTGACCGAGCACAACAGAGAGAAAAAAAGGGAATCTGGTATTCGAAAAACTGTGCAGCGGCTACAAACAGGTGGACGTCTCGGGACGTAAGTACAATCTGTCTGAAACAGCCACCGATTACGATAAATGCACCACACCTATCGGGAGCAGCGACGGTGTTCTCGGGAGCTACATCGCGGTCGTGTGGGTCCCGAATGGGAAGAACCTCACAACGCTCGTGTCCCTCAAAAAAACTAAAGGGGTAACGTGTAATCTTGAATATATTTAAC